AAGGGAAGGGAAGGGAAGGGAAGGGAAGGGAAGGGAAGAGAAGGGAAGGAAGGGAGAAAGAAAAAGAAAAAATGCTACAGAGGTACTCTTGGAGAAATTACAGGAAAAGACAGTTATAACTTCAGTGTTGGTTTTATGTGCAAACAGAATTGTTGTCACTTGGTTTGAGGAACCCTGACCTCTCATGCTGTTGAGATAATCTTTTGCCTTACACTCCTGCTAGTTTGTGGTGGGTAGACTGGTATAGGGCAGGAACTGTTTATTGGTCTGCAACAAGATAAACAAAATATTGACACTGTACTTTAGAAACTTTCAGAGTCTTTTGACATTGCTATGACATCCAAGCATACGATTCATCAGCTTGTACATTATGTGTCTTTGACCACATTTAATTTTTCTAGCGAATCATTTTTTTATTATATGTGGTAGATTAGAAATTGACAAAAGAAAATCCAACCTTCACCGTAGATATTTCAGAAAGCACAGGCTAAAAAAATACTTTTCTTCTCTTGCCAGGCAAAATGTTTGTTTCTTATTCCTGGTTCTATTCACCTCCTCTCTGTGCAGTCCTCAAAAGGTCGTGTGGCCACCTCCCTAGGTACTTGGCCTGAGTGTCAAGTCAAACAAGCTCCTCTACTGCAGACGCAGGGTCTTGTTTACCTACATATTTCCCACCAAGACACTAATTTGTAAATATTTGTATTTTTGTTTTCTCTAGCTTTGTGGTCATGGGCAAGTTATTTTCACTCTTTTGCTTCATTTTTTGTAAAATGGGAAATAAATTATATGATATAGTTATTGTTGGGGTGGAATAAACAGGCATAAGAAAGCTCAGGACATAAAATACTCAGAACACTTTAACTTGCAAACTAGTTAGTGTTAGAGCTTACCATGTCACTGTTACCATGTTAGTGGTAGAATTTATCATGTGTGAGGCCCTAAATTCAGTTTCTTTCCTAAATTCAGTTTCTTTTTTCTTTTTCTTTTCATTTATTTATTTATTTATTTATTTATTTATTTATTGCGGTACCAGGGATTGAACTCTGGATGTTGCACTTGCCGGGCAGGCATATATTCTACTGAGCTATCTCCCTGGCCTAAATTCAATTTCTGACATCTAAAGGAATTAGAAGAACTAGCCAGGGCATGGGGGTGAACCCCATCCATTAAGCATTTCCTCAGTGATCTGCCCCAACACCATTGACTGGCATCATGCTCTGCTGTTTCTATGAGTCTAACTGCTCTAGGTACCGCATACAAATGAAATCATACAGTATTTGTCTTTTAGTGACTGAATTATTTCATTTATCATGATGTCCTCATTTCCATTTATGGTATAGAATGCCTTCCTACATTTTATATGTTCGTTTGTTAATGGATTGTGTTGCTCCCAGCTTTGAGCTACTGTGAATAATGTTGCTCTGAATGTGAGCATCCACACATTTGAGACTTTGTTTTGAGTTCTGTTATATCTATATCTGTATCTATATCTATATCTACATATCTATATTTATATACAGAAGTGGAATTATTGGCTTATCTCATAGTGCTATTTTTCTGCCTCTCTCTGTCTCTGTCTCTGTCTCTGTCTCTCTCTGTCTCTGTCTCTCTGTCTCTCTGTCTCT